GTGTCAGATTACTGCCAACGATATACCAGTCTAATAATACCATGTTCTGTGTGTTCCAGGCCCTTCAGATGTTGCAGTGTGTGGCGTCAGCTCTCACTGCGTCCAATGTTTTCTACTGATCTTCAACGCTCCAACTGAACGAGACTGGGATGGATCGGCCTCCAGTTCAGTTCTGTGTTTAGTCCCGGTCCATGGAGTTGGGCTGTTCATTAAGTAAAGCTCTCTGTAGTGACTCGTCTTGGGACACTCGTGGGGGTCCAGCTCTGGTGAGGGTCCAGGACATCATTAACTGGAGCCTCTCGGGGCCCAGAAGTATTGACTCAGATGGATTTCAATGCATTATTTTTAGGCCTAGAGTGAGAGCTCGATCCAAGAGCCCAGGGTTTTTGGTTGGATTCTACATTTAAAGGGACTTTGGTGATGTCACACTCGGCCAGTCCACGCTTTGAGTTGGATTCCAGTGTTTTTCATTTAAATGTTTTCACTGAATGACTCAAAACCATTGGCGCTTGGACCAAAAATGACCTACAGTAGTTCTTTGTCACTAACTTGATCAGCTGCGAATTTAACTAAACATTCTGTTGGATTAACATTTCCAAGAATCACTTTTTCAATAAAGAAGTCATTGGGATGTACTGTGGAACTATGAGCTGCTTCTATAATGACATATCTAACCACCTCTGATGCTGTTACTATTGTTACCTACTTTTAGAACGATGTATGTTTGTTTTGTTTGGATGGAGGTGTTTCTGCTGATACTGGACACCTGCATTTCTCCAACAGGGGTCATTAAAGTATCTACAGTATATGATGTAGTATGTCATATTGTAGAGTATATACACAGAGCATGAGAAGCATTTGTAGTAGTAGTAGTAGGAGTGGTTCTAGTAGTAGCAGTAGTAGTAGTAGTAAGTAATCTTTATTGTTGTTATTATTTTTGGGCACTTGTCTCTCACTCCACACAGAGATGGGAGGGGGGCACCAGTACAGGAGGCGCATGCCAGACCTATTGTGCATGTTTTTAGTGGTAGGGGAAACTGGAGTACCCGGAGGAAACCTACGCAGACACGGGGAGAACATGCAAACTCCACTCAGAAAGGCCCTAGTCCGGCCGGGATTCGAACCCAGGATCTTCTTGCTGAGAGGCGAGAGTGCTATCCACTCAGCCACCGTGCCGCCCACTAAAGTAGTAGTAGTAGTAGTGGTTGTAGTAGTAGTAGTAATAGTAGTAGTAGTAGTAGTTGTAGTAGTAGTAGTAGTAGTAGTAGTAGTAGTAGTAGTAGTAGTAGTAGTAGTAGCAGCAGCAGCAGCAGCAGCAGCAGCAGCAGCAGCAGCAGCAGCAGCAGCAGCAGTAGTAGTAGTAGCAGCAGCAGTAGTAGTAGTAGTAGCAGTAGTAGTAGTAGTAGTAGCAGCAGCAGCAGCAGCAGCAGCAGCAGCAGCAGCAGCAGCAGCAGCAGCAGCAGCAGCAGTAGTAGTAGTAGTAGCAGCAGCAGTAGTAGTAGTAGTAGTAGTAGTAGTAGCAGTAGTAGTAGTAGTAGTGGCGGTTAGATACTCTATGTCATTATAGATAGACACCTGCATTTCTCCTACAGGGATCATTAAAGTATCTATCTATATGATGTAGTACAGTATATGATGCAGTACAGTATATGATATGGTACAGTATATGATGTAGTACAGTATATGATGCAGTACAGTATATGATATGGTACAGTATATGATGTAGTACAGTATATGATGCAGTACAGTATATGATATGGTACAGTATATGATGCAGTACAGTATATGATGCAGTACAGTATATGATATGGTACAGTATATGATGCAGTACAGTATATGATGCAGTACAGTATATGATGCAGTACAGTATATGATGCAGTACAGTATATGATATGGTACAGTATATGATGAAGTACAGTATATGATGAAGTACAGTATATGATGCAGTACAGTATATGATGCAGTACTGTATATGATGCAGTACAGTATATGATATGGTACAGTATATGATGCAGTACAGTATATGATGAAGTACAGTATATGATGCAGTACTGTATATGATGCAGTACAGTATATGATATGGTACAGTATATGATGCAGTACAGTATATAATGCAGTACAGTATATGATGTAGTACAGTATATAATGCAGTACAGTATATGATGCAGTACAGTATATGATGCAGTACAGTATATGATGCAGTACTGTATATACACAGGACAGAGAAGCGCACTGTAAAAGATATAGTTCCATGTGCGTCACTGTGAAACAAAAGGTGAAGCGGGTTAACGAACAGAAGAACAGATGATAATGAGACTTCAGCTTCACCTCCGTCACTGCTTCACTTGTGACGGCACGACACCTTCAAAACGACTACAACACAAACAGAGGATTAGCCCCGAGGTGGAAGTGGTGGAACTGTCACTGCCAAGCCCACATTCTTGTCCTGGAGGAGGTCTAGACTTTCAGACACAGCGCCACTCCTGTGTGTGTGTGTGTGTGTGTGTGTGTGTCTGTGTGTGTGTGTGTGTGTGTGTGTGTGTGTGTGTGTGTGTGTGTGTGTGTGTCTGTGTGTGTGTGTGTGTGTGTGTCTGTGTGTGTCTGTGTGTGTCTGTGTGTGTATGAGTGACAGAAGGGGTCACAGGTCAGGTTAAAAAGCACTTATTTTACCTCTGGCCCATTTTCAGCACACAAACACACACATATATCTACACGCCAACACACACACACACACACATAACTACACACAAACGCAGACACACACACATATACCTACACACCAACACAGACACAGACACACACACACACATAACTACACACAAACAAAGACACACACACATATACCTACACACCAATATACACACACACACACACACATAACTACACACAAACGCAGACACACACACATATACCTACACACCAACACAGACACAGACACACACACATAACTACACACAAACAAAGACACACACACATATACCTACACACCAATATACACACACACACACACACATAACTACACACCAACGCAGACACACACACACACATAACTACACACAAACGCAGACACACACACACACACACATAACTACACACAAACGCAGACACACACACACACACACACACACATAACTACACACAAACGCAGACACACACACACACACACACACACACATAACTACACACAACGCAGACACACACACACATAACTACACACAAACGCAGACACACACACATATACCTACACACCAACACAGACACAGACACACACACACACACATAACTACACACAAACGCAGACACACACACGCACACACATAACTACACACAAACGCAGACACACACACACACACACATAACTACACACAAACGCAGACACACACACACACACACATAACTACACACAAACGCAGACACACACACACAAACGCAGACACACACACACATAACTACACACAAACGCAGACACACACACACAAACGCAGACACACACACACACATAACTACACACAAACGCAGACACACACACACAACTACACACACACGCAGACACACACACACACACACACACACACACACATAACTACACACAAACACAGACACACACACACACACACATAACTACACACAAACGCAGACACACACACACACACACACATAACTACACACAAACGCAGACACACACACACACACACATAACTACACACACACGCAGACACACACACACAAACGCAGACACACACACACACATAACTACACACAAACGCAGACACACACACACAACTACACACACACGCAGACACACACACACACACACACACACACACATAACTACACACAAACGCAGACACACACACACACACATAACTACACACAAACGCAGACACACACACACATAACTACACACAAACGCAGACACACACACACACACACACATAACTACACACAAACGCAGACACACACACACACACACACATAACTACACACAAACGCAGACACACACACACACACACATAACTACATACAAACAAAGACACACACACACACACACACATAACTACACACAAACGCAGACACACACACACACACACATAACTACACACAAACGCAGACACACACACACACACACACATAACTACACACAAACGCAGACACACACACACACACACACATAACTACTACACACCAACACAGACACACACACACACACACACACACATAACTACACACAAACGCAGACACACACACACACACACATAACTACACACAAACGCAGACACACACACACACACATAACTACACACAAACGCAGACACACACACACATAACTACACACAAACGCAGACACACACACACATAACTACACACAAACGCAGACACACACACACACACACCGCATGGCACTGGCTCTAGATTAGTTTGACACAGTTTCTGGATCAGTGAATTAACGCTAACCCAGACCCTTTATATTCATTTATTATGAGTGTGTCTAATCTGGTGCTTGTAATTTGCTTTGATCATGTTGAAATGCACTGACACAAAGTGGTAATAATAATGGTATGAATGTAATGGAAATAATCTGTAGTTTCTCTGGTGTTGAGAGTCGTTGTCTGAGGGTTTCCAAAGTGAAAGTCAGAGACGTCTCACATGTAGCACTTGGCTCCACTGACCTGTGTGCAGCACCTTACTCCTCTGCTGCTCTGTGCAAGAAAAGTCATCCTCTTCACAGCATTATTCTCTCACTCCAAGAAACTAGTATAATACTCTCAACCACACAGCCCAGACCTGGTTCCTCCACTACACAACAAAACAATCGGGGTAATCACTTCAAATACTTAAACTCACGGTTGAATATGTCAAAGTTATTCATAAACGCTCCCAACAATGACTTCACATTCTAGCTCTGTCTTTGTCTCTGCCCTTTGCCTCTGCTACAGTCACACCTCATCCTGACAAACAGCAACGCAAAGCATAAAGCCGACACCAGGGGGCGCTCTCACCTGTCCGTCTGTGGAGATGGTCCCTCCGCAGTCGCTCAGCAGCTCCGACATGTCGTAGTAGCTGCTGAACTCCCACAGACAGGCCTCCAGGTTCAGGTTCCTGTAGAAGCGGAGCGTGGCCTCCCCCCGCAGAGCCGCGCTGTACTGGTAGGGGGCGCTGTCTCCCATCACCTCGGCCTTCCTGGTGTCTGCAGTGATGAAGCCGTAGCGGGTGGAGACCTCGGAGTGGTCCAGCAGGTTGGAGCAGCGGTGGTTCCCGACGCGGGTCCCGTCCGGACTCAGGGTCAGCTCGAAGTTGGAGAGAGGCCGAGTGGAGACGACCGGGAGCATGCCTGAGAAAACAGGTTTGGTACGAAGACACGCAGTCACACGGCAGCGGAGTACAACAAGTCACCGCTCATCTAAACAGACTTCAGCTTTATCTGCTTTACTCTTGTATTTATTGTATATTAACAGATGTTATTTTTACTCTTATTTTCAGATTGTTACTTTAATTTTATTTTTTATTCTGAACTACTATGCCAGCTACTGTGACAATGCAATTTCCCTTCCCCTGGATCAATAAATGCTAAGTCTTAGTCTAATCTAGTCCAGTTTCCACCGGCTCGACTCGACTCGGCTCTACCCGGTTTGCTGGCGTTTCCACCAGCTCTATTTTGCCGCTACCCGGTATTGCATTAACAGCTTGGCCCTGGTTCTAGCCGAGTAGATAAAAACAATCTGACATCGGCGAACGTCAGTTGTGATTGGTCAGATGCGCTGTCAAAAGTTAACAATCTCTGAGGTTTTCGGACTTATCTGTTAACGTTTTCATGACAAAAAAGCTGTTTTAATGCGTCAAAAAGCGATCACGGTAAACCCGGAAGTAACTATCAACATTAGTAGAACATTTTAGGAACATTTTCAGAGGATCTGATGGATTTAGGTTATATTCGGGTCACTCACTGCTGATGTTCTCTTGGTTCACTTTTCATGTAGTTCCAGAGCCGTGTGGAGGCTTGATTTGGACGCTCCGTGAAAACAAACAACTGAGCATGAGCGGCTACGAGCATGAGCGCCGATGATTGACAGCCCTTGGCATCACTTGATTGGTTAAACTGGACAGTATCGTGGATTTTGAGCTATAGCTAAGAGAATTTATATTTCATTAAATTACTTATTTTATATCAATATTTTAAGGCCAGGAGGTGAATATAGTACAATTCTTAGCATTTGTAATTCATTTAGAGTTCCAGACTATCACTGTCTGTGATAGTGACTCTCAAGTGGATGCAAGATACGGCCATCGGGTAACACCAGCCAACACCGGGCGACACCAGGCGACACCAGGCGACACCGGCCGACACCGGCCGACACCAGGCGACACCAGGCGACACCAGCCAACACCAGCCAACACCAGCCAACACCAGCTAATACCAGCTAATACCAGCTAATACCAGCTAATACCAGCCAACACCAGCCAACACCAGCCAACACCAGGCAACACCAGCCAACACCAGCCAACACCAGCCAACACCAGCCAACACCAGCCAACACCAGCCAACACCAGGCAACACCAGGCAACACCAGCCAACACCAGCCAACACCAGCCAACACCAGCCAACACCAGCCAACACCAGCCAACACCAGCCAACACCAGCCAACACCAGCTAATACCAGCTAATACCAGCTAATACCAGCTAATACCAGCCAACACCAGCCAACACCAGCCAACACCAGCCAACACCAGCCAACACCAGCTAATACCAGCTAATACCAGCCAACACCAGGCAACACCAGCCAACACCAGCTAATACCAGCCAACACCAGCTAATACCAGCCAACACCAGCTAATACCAGCCAACACCAGCCAACACCAGCCAATACCAGCTAATACCAGCCAACACCAGCCAACACCAGCCAACACCGGCTAATACCAGCCAACACCAGCCAACACCAGCTAATACCAGCCAACACCAGCCAACACCAGCCAACTCCAGCCAACACCAGCCCTCCATCCATCCATCCATTTTCTTCCCCTTAATCCATTTCTGGGTCGGGGGGTGGCAGTCAGAGCTGCACCCAGTCACAGAGCATCAGCCCCTCACTGATCCTCCTGCAGGTGGTGAGTCCACAGGAGCTGAGATCTTTCAGTGGGGGCTTCAGGCAAAGTGGGGTTAAGTGTCTTGCCCAAGGACACAACGACAGCAGTCATCAGTGGGAGTCGTGAAGTAGGTCTTGAGGTGGGCTCGAACCCACGACCTTCAGGCTCAAAGGCCAATGCTCTACCAACTGAGCAACTGTCGCCCCAACACCAGCCAACACCAGGTAACACCAGGTAACACCAGCTAACACCAGCCAACACCTGGTAACACCAGGTAACACCAGCCAACACCTGGTAACACCAGGTAACACCAGGTAACACCAGCCAACACCTGGTAACACCAGGTAACACCAGCTAACACCAGCTAACACCAGCTAACACCAGCTAACACCAGCCAACACCTGGTAACACCTGGTAACACTGGGAGAGATGGATGCCTGGACCCTGCCTCGACTGCTCGTGCTGAGAGTGTGATTATAAGAATATAAAGAAATAAATGTGTCTGTACTTCATTGAAAGTCTCTGAATCTCGTCTTGAGAAGTGTGTGTCGTGGCCAGCAGGGGGCGCTGCTCACCGTCGATGTGAGCCATGGTGATGGTCAGTTTGATGAGGTTGGGGTGGTCCAGGTCCTCTGCTCCCGTGTACCTGAGGCGGGCGGAGAAGGGTTCTGCGCCCACGGATCCGGGAACCCGAGACTGGCACATCCCTGAGGGCACAGAGGTCCTGGACTCAGTCTGGTTTGAACGAGTCCGATTTATTTAGATATAATCTGGAACTACAAGGTCCATTCATGTTCCCCCAGTCCCCCCCGACCTTCCACTCTGCTGATGGCAACCACAGCACCTCCCCCCCGTCTCTCCTCTCCCCTCCCCCTCTCACCTTCGTCCCTGCTGATAGTGACCACAGAACCTTCCTCTCTCCTCCCCTCTCTCCCCTTCCCTCCCCCTCTGACCTTCCTCCCTGCTGATAGTGACCACAGCACCTCCCTCCCCTCTCTCCCCTCCCCTCCCCCTCTCACCTTCCTCCCTGCTGATAGTGACCACAGCACCTCCCTCTCTCCTCTCCCCTCCCCCTCTCACCCTCCTCCCTGCTGATGGCAACCACAACACCTCCCTCTCTCCCCTCCCCTCCCCCTCTCACCTTCCTCCCTGCTGATAGTGACCACAGCACCTCCCTCTCTCCCCTCCCCTCCCCCTCTCACCTTCCTCCCTGCTGATAGTGACCACAGCACCTCCCTCCCTTCTCTCCTCTCCCCTCCCCCTCTCACCTTCCTCCCTGCTGATAGTGACCACAGCACCTCCCTCTCTCCCCTCCCCTCCCCCTCTCACCTTCCTCCCTGCTGATAGTGACCACAGCACCTCCCTCCCTTCTCTCCTCTCTCCCCTCCCCCTATCACCCTCCTCCCTGCTGATGGCAACCACAGCACCTCCCTCCCTTCTCTCCTCTCCCCTCCCCCTCTCACCTTCCTCCCTGCTGATAGTGACCACAGCACTGGTCAGCTCCAGCCCCTCCTGTCCGTCCTGGTTGACTGCCCGAGCCGCGCACTGGACCCGCGATCCCGCCTGGAAGTAGACCGAGTCCAGGGTGAGCAGCTTGGACGAGGTGAAGAAGGTGTTGAAGTCCACCTCCCCCATGGGACTGGTGACGCCGTCCGGGCCAGAGGGGGCGCTCACGAGCCAGCGGTAGCGGGTCAGCGTGTTGTTGATGCTCTCGCTGGAGCAGATGGAGCCGGTCCGGTCGAAGTCGGGGTATTTGGGATTACAGGCCTGCGGAGACCAGAGGGACCATCAATTCAATCCAATTAGATTTTTTTGTGTATAGCCGTAAATCACAACAGTAGGACTTTACAAAACTGTCAATTCACCAACACAGATTTTCATGTCAAGTCATCATCAGAGGGTCCTAATCTGTCAAAGGGCATTCATAAAACATGCTCTTTTCCAATACTTCTTTAACTGATAACAGAGTATTCTTTATTTAGTAATAATTAGTTTTAAAGCCCCTACATCATGTTATTGTTTTCATTTCGATGTCCCGCGTGAAGTCTGCAAAATCTAAAGACAGCGAGATGTGGACTGATTTTTTTCACAATGTTTTACTTTTACAAGACTTTTTTCTGTTGGGTCAAATTGCATATACTTTTATCGGGAAAAGTTAGGTACCCCAGCTTTAAGTTTTCATGTCCTTTATGCCTTGAAAGCGAATCACAACAATAGGGTAATTAGACTTTCATATGTTGTGTAATGAATGGTGTGTCTTTCCCATTAAAACGAATAGATGTTTTTACTCATGCAGAGCTGCCGCCGGTGGCCCCTCCCTCAGGAAAATTGGATAAAACATGCTTTCATCTTTCGGCAGACTTTAGAAATCCCCACGGCTAAACGGATGGGATTCAAAATAATTCGCTCTCTGCAGCATTGACACATAACTGGGACTTAGCGTTGGGCCGAGAGCCGGGATCTGAACTCGCCCCATAAACCATTTTAAAGCTCATCCTCAGTGTTACAGAACCCACAGTTTTCTCAAAGTTCAGATTCTGTGCAGATTTTAGAGTCTGTCGTCCTGAACTTTTTATCTTTTTAAATCATTGGTTTTGTAACTATCCACAAGTTTATGCAACAACCTCTGCACACGCTCAGATCAGAGCGGGCACCGCAGACTGCGCCTGCTCTGATTGGTCAGAAGCATAGACTGTCAATATTATTGGACGTAGTGACTCTTATCCCTTACGACGTTTTCAAAATGGCCGCGAGAAGCCTCTCCCGCAGGAAAATAGTGCGCATGCATTATCCGTCACGAGCCTGACACATGCCGTTCATTTAACGAGTGCATTAAAAAGTCCTCAGTCTAAACAGAAAACTCCCCTCAACATGGACAACATCTGGAACAAAGCGTTGAGCCAAGAGCGACTTTTGGACCAGGAAGTAAAGCTATTTTTAAGAGGAAAAAAGCGTCATAAGAACTTATTGGATAATTCTGTTAGGCTGACAGAGCCTTCAGACCAATCAGAGCAGAGGAACATGGAGCCTTCTGATCAGTGGGGGCGGGTCCCGGCTCAATCTGACTCCTTGCCTGTGGGGGTGTACCCGGAAACAGAATTATCCAATAAGTTCTTATGACGCTTTTTTCCTCTGAAAAATAGCTTTACTTCCTGGTCCAAAAGTCGCTCTTGGCTCAACGCTTTGTTCCAGATGTTGTCCATGTTGAGGGGAGTTTTCTGTTTAGACTGAGGACTTTTTAATGCACTCGTTAAATGAACGGCATGTGTCAGGCTCGTAACGGATAATGCATGCGCACCATTTTCCTGCGGGAGAGGCTGCTCGCGGCCATTTTGAAAGCTTCATAGAAAACCCCAACAAATGATCAAAGTGGTAGAGTTGCCGTCACAATTCTTCTACAGCACCTGAGGATTTTGGCTGCTACACCAACAGTGGCCTCAGAGCACATGCTAGAAGCTAAAGCTGGTAATATCCTACACATGCTCTAATGTATAGAACTGAGGAATTTCATATTTTTATCTTTCTTTTTGATGTACTGTGATTATTTATGATTTTAATGCCATCGTATTTTGTTTAGTGGCCTTGTGTATGAATTGTGCTTTACAGATGAACTTGCCTTGCCTTGCCTTACATGGGTTTTCAATTGTATCACAGCTAATCCCGACGGCACCAAGTGTTAGCAAGACAACTGTGCTGATCCTGATACGGTGAATATGAGGCAATATTTCCACATCCAAAAGGTGATTTATAAAAACCAGAGACTGAAGGACTTTATGGGCTTTATAGACTATTATGGACTTTACAATGGTACTACCCAAACAGATACAATACCCATGTACCCAGACACACATTCACACAGGGGATTATAATGGATCCACAGCCCCACAGACATAGATGCAGGTGTAAAGAGGTCGTACGGTGACACAGATGACGGGGTACCCGGCGGTGGGGCTGGGGTCTCCGGAGCGCTGCATGTGGTCGTACTGCTGCAGGGACACCACTCTGGGCACGGAGGGGAAGGTCACGTCTGCCATACTGTCCGTCTCCTCGATGTAGATGATGGCTTTACTCAGCTGCGGCACAAACAGGAAGTCACCAACAAGCTCTGACCAAACAAACAGATCATAACAACACTGAAATATCATCGAGTCATGTCCAAACTTATGAGTAACAGGACCGCTTTAGTTCCCCAGACCTGTCCTGGAGCCGTCAGCAGGGATTGTGAGTCTGTTTTGACAGGATTGGGCGGTTCTGGGCTTCGACATGGGGTAAAATGTCCAGATTGATTCACAATAGAGCAGGGGTGTCCAACCTTATCCATGAGAGAGATACTTTATTCGGGACAAAAGAGGGAGAGAGCTATTCCTGGTGCTCTACAATGGATTAAAGAGAAACTAAACACCAGTGCCCAGCCTTACTCCGCCCACATGAACATTTGAACATTCGCTCTAAAAAGGGAGAAGGACCAGGGGACAAGAAGTGGGACGTGGTCTCCTACACAAAGTAATCAGACCGTTACTGCTGCTTAAAGCAATAGTTTAATAATAATGCATCGGTTTTATACAGCGCTTTTTTGGACTCTCAAAGACGCTTCACATGTGTCATTATTCATTCACTCCAAACACAGTGGTGATAAACTACTACTGTAGCCACAGCTGCCCTGGGGCACACTGACAGAAGCGAGGCAACCAGTCTGTGTCATCAGCCCCTCCCACCACCACCAACCATTCACACACACACCAGACTCATTCTAGGCAATGGGGGTGAAGTGTCTTGCCTAAGGACACAACGGCAGTTTGGCACTTTACAGCCGCCCCACTGTGGCTGGTATTCCCAGAGGTTAAGGGTCTTGCCCAAGGACACAACGACAGCAGACAGTGGGAGTCGATGGTGAACGTGTTGAGGTGGACTCGAACCCACGACCTTCTGGCTCAAAGGCCAATGCTCTACCAACTGAGCCACTGTCGCCCATACAGTTTACACACCCTTGTTTACACACTGAGATGACTGTAGCTAGACACCTGAAACATCACCTGTGAGGTTTCCCAGTTTCACTAAAAGAAAGGTCTCTGCTGATTTTGGAAATAACAATTTGACCTTTGTCCATTCCCAACGTCACATTTAAAGTCATTGAAACATGTTCTGCAGCCGAGGGAGTAGCTTCTTCCTTTGAATATGACGTTAATGAAGCACCTTAGTCTCTGCCACCATGTTCTCGTCCGGCCTCAGGTGCACCGTGAAGGCCTCTCTCATCTCTCTCACGCCGTCGTACAGGATCTCCACCTCCACATGATGCACCGTCTCTCCATCTTTGAAGACGATTTCTACAAAAGACACAAAACACAGCTCATGTGGGACTCTGTCTTATCATGTCCTGCACACACAGCGGCGGGAAACTACAGCTGGAGCCATAGATGCCTTGGGGCAGACTCAAACGTGCACGACCTTTCAAAAACAGGGCTGTCAAACTCATGGGTCAGGGGCTGAAGAATAATACAAATATCTGGTCAGGGGCCGTAAGAATAGAAGGGATTTCCTTTCTTATAATAGTTTTTTACATGATGAAGAATAGAACTGAATATAAAATAATATAACTTTTTTGTCTGTTCAATCGAGCAGAGATTTGTCTTTCAACACAGCACATTTTCATTCATTAAAACACACTTCAAATACATTTAGCAAAGACACAACAGTTCATAATATATGCAGTGCTACTGTTGTTTTGACCCAATTAATTTAAAACCATGACTGAGTTTAAGATATTCACGAGTTAAGTCCCGACTGAAATGGAAACCGGTTTGTACCCATTTGTAAAAGTGTAAATATGAAATAGGTAAGTTTTTAGGATAATATTCTAAATGTGAAAGTAGAGAAAGGCCCAAGAGTTGAAAATTAGCAAAAGCCATAAACTATTTTTGCATCGCGTCAGTTATTCAAATGAATGAATAAATACATAAATAAATAAGACTTTTACGTGACATGAGTTTCACTATTATTTTCTGGTTGATTTTCTGAAATATTTTTTTATTTTTTATTAATTGAATGTTTAGATAGAACCAAAATTGGACAAAAATATAGAGTTTTGCACATGTTTTATTTAACAATTTCACCTGTAATGATGTGATGGGTTAAAACATTCAGAATACATCAAATGTGGTTGTTTTCCGGAGAAAATGAGATGATGTATAACATGCCATGGTTGCCCATTACCATCAATGCTGCAAGTGAACAATAATAATTGTGGCTTTTAGGGGCCACTAAACATTGGTTTGAGGCCGGTTTTGGCCCATGAGCCTGAGTTTGACCCGTTTGGTCTATAAGTAACATAAGTAAGTGGGTCAGTAAGTAATGTTTATTTATATAGCGCCTTTCAATAGACCAGAGTCACAAAGCGCTTTACAATTGTGAGCATTTGTCTCTCACTCCACACAGAGAGACAAACCGGAGCACCTGGAGGAAACCTACGCAGACACGCTGAGTATGTAAAAGACAAGGTTAGATAAAAGTTAGCCTCCATGTGTGTCTCACCCTGGGACACCGGGTTGTAGTCCTCTCCGGAGGTGGCAGACCCGTCCTTGGTGTGGACCCGGACCACGGAGACTTTGGAGGTGTCCCCGAGGCGCTGGACCGAGACCCTGACCGTGGACCGCTGCCCGCTCTGCGCCGGCTCCATCACACTGAACTTACTCTGACCAAAGCGGATCACGGACTCTGAGGAAAACACGCTTTATCAAAACTGATCTGAACCGGAGAAAAACATAAACATCAAAGTCAACGTTTAGTTTATTGTGGACCTCTGCTTAAAAAATACAATATGTAAGATTTGCATGTCCAGTCATCATTAAAGGGCCCTAATCTGTCATCATTAAAGGGTCCTAATCTGTCATCATTAAAGGGTCCTAATCTGTCATCATTAAAGGGCCCTAATCTGTCATCATTAAAGTGCCCTAATCTGTCATCATTAAAGGGCCCTAATCTGTCATCATTAAAGTGCCATAATCTGTCATCATTAAAGGGTCCTAATCTGTCATCATTAAAGGGCCCTAATCTGTCATCATTAAAGGGTCCTAATCTGTCATCATTAAAGGGTCCTAATCTGTCATCATTAAAGGGCCCTAATCTGTCATCATTAAAGTGCCCTAATCTGTCATCATTAAAGGGCCCTAATCTGTCATCATTAAAGTGCCCTAATCTGTCATCATTAAAGGGCCCTAATCTGTCATCATTAAAGGGCCCTATCTGTCATCATTAAAGGGCCCTCATCTGTCATCATTAAAGGGCCCTAATCTGTCATAATAATAAACTGCTCTTTTCCAATACTTCTTTAACTGATAACAGTAGTTCAGAGATATTTGAATGTCTACATTATTTTTACAGCCCTTGAAGCCTAGTGTACACTCGCACGCCGCTGGTTACGGTTGCGGTTACGTTGGACGCAGCCACAGAGGCTCGTCCACTCGTGTATTCCCCTTACGTAGTTTTGAAGAGAATGTTGTAATCCCACACCCAACCACATGATGGCGAACTCACAGGAGTTTAGAAACCAAAGCAGTCCCATTTACACTGCTTCTCTTCAGAACAAAAACAACAGTGAAGCTGTTTGAGATCATTACTGTTTCTACTGTAGGTTTATGTGACCGTTCTATGGACTCATCGTTTCAGCTCATTTAACTGTGATGCTGTGAATAAAGGCTTAGTTCTTGTTGGAAACAAAACACAAGCAGCAAAACAAGTGTTAAATATCTGAGACAAACATGACCTCTTTACAAGAGCAGGAGGAATGCAAAGGACGCAATAAGCTACAAGTGCAGATTCAAAGATGGGAACAGTGCAAAAGTAACGACTGTACAGTTTATAAATTAGATATTCAATAGAACTGAACAGTCCACAGTCTCCGTGTGTATCAGGCTCTGAGCCATGAGCCCAAACTGCTTTTCCTTCGGTTCCTTCGAAGCACGAGGTTTGCTCCATAGTGCCTCGTCCATGCTCCTCTGCAGCCGCCAATACACACACACGGACCAAGCTCCAGCGGAGCTTCTGTGAGGCGCCAGCTGCGTAGTTAGACATTTTCAAGGGTGCGCGGCAGGCTACGCAAGGGCCTTGTGGTGATCCTTGCGTTGACCAAGTGATGTCACGTCACCACCGTAAGCTCCGCGCCGTGCGACTATACACTGGGCTTGAATCTTGTTATTGTTTTCATTACGATGTTACATTATGATGTGGTTATAGATTTGTTGTTGACAAAACTCTTGTCTATTCAGCTGTTATGGTCCCAGCTGGATTCGTCTGCATATCTGGCAACCTGAGTCAGGGAGAGTGGGAGAGGCTGCAGTACCACCTTTGGCCACATTTTTAAACACTGCTCCTTTAATGGGGAAAACCCTCTGAAGTAAATGTAAATATGCACTTTATTTATCCTTGTAGAAGTTTGTCCTCTGCATTTGACCCTGGTGCCCGTAAGGCGTACGTCAGGAGCAGTGGTCGCCGTAGTAACAGCGCCCGGGACTCATCTCCAGATGTTGGTACTCGGTTTGGTCAGGACCAGAGCTGGAGGATCTATCAAAGCCCTGTAATGATCTTGCACCTGTTGTTGTCTTATTTCAGTACTTTTCTGGTCCACACTGGGGACTTGTGCATCTGTTCCAAAGTGGTTTTACTGCAAATGGCAAATCACTTAGATCTGAATCTTCCTTTTACACATGTATTCTCTGGGTGTGAATGCATGAGGCTCCACACTCACTGTCTGAACCGTCCTGAATCTTGACCAGGGTCTCGTTCTGAGGACCCACAGAGGCCCCGTAGGGAGAGGGGCTCCTGGGGCTGCCCAAGACCAGCCTCAGCTCCTCATCCTCCTCGTACTCTGTGTCATCCATGATCTCCAGCACACAGGCCTTCTCCCGCTCTCCTGCAGGGGGCGCACACAAACACAAAGAGTTACACACAGGCCTTCTGCCGCTCTCCTGCAGGGGGCGCACACAAACACAAAGAGTTACACACAGGCCTTCTCTCGGTCTCCTGCAGGGGGCGCACACAAACACAAAGAGTTACACACAGGCCTTCTCCCGCTCTCCTGCAGGGGGCGCACACAAACACAAAGAGTTACACACAGGCCTTCTCCCGCTCTCCTGCAGGGGGCGCACACAAACACAAAGAGTTACACACAGGCCTTCTCCCGCTCTCCTGCAGGGGGCGCACACAAACACAAAGAGTTACACACAGGCCTTCTCCCGCTCTCCTGCAGGGGGCGCACACAAACACAAAGAGTTACACACAGGCCTTCTCCCGCTCTCCTGCAGGGGGCGCACACAAACACAAAGAGTTACACACAGGCCTTCTCCCGCTCTCCTGCAGGGGGCGCACACAAACACAAAGAGTTACACACAGGCCTTCTGCCGCTCTCCTGCAGGGGGCGCACACAAACACAAAGAGTTACACACAGGCCTTCTCCCGCTCTCCTGCAGGGGGCGCACACAAACACAAAGAGTTACACACAGGCCTTCTCCCGCTCTCCTGCAGGGGGCGCACACAAACACAAAGAGTTACACACAGGCCTTCTCTCGGTCTCCTGCAGGGGGCGCACACAAACACAAAGAGTTACACACAGGCCTTCTCCCGCTCTCCTGCAGGGGGCGCACACAAACACAAAGAGTTACACACAGGCCTTCTCTCAGTCTCCTGCAGGGGGCGCACACAGACACACACAGTTACACACAGTTACACACAGGCCTTCTCTCGCTCTCCTGCAGGGGGCGCACACAGACACACACAGTTACACACAGTTACACACACAGTTACACACAGTTACACACAGGCCTTCTCTCGCTCTCCTGCAGGGGGCGCACACAAACACAAAGAGTTACACACAGGCCTTCTCCCGCTCTCCTGCAGGGGGCGCACACAAACACAAAGAGTTACACACAGGCCTTCTCTCGCTCTCCTGCAGGGGGCGCACACAAACACAAAGAGTTACACACAGGCCTTCTCCCGCTCTCCTGCAGGGGGCGCACACAAACACAAAGAGTTACACACAGGCCTTCTCCTGCAGGGGGCGCACACAAACACAAAGAGTTACACACAGGCCTTCTCTCGGTCTCCTGCAGGGGGCGCACACAGACACACACAGTTACACACAGTTACACACAGACACACACAGTCACACACAGTTACAGACAGTTACACACAGACACACACAGTTACACACAGTTACACACAGGCCTTCTCTCGCTCTCCTGCAGGGAGCGCACACAGACACACACAGTTACACACAGTTACACACAGTTACACACAGGCCTTCTCTCGCTCTCCTGCAGGGGGCGCACACAGACACACACAGTTACACACAGTTACACACAGACACACACAGTTACACACAGTTACACACAGGCCTTCTCTCGCTCTCCTGCAGGGGGCGCACACAGACACACAGTTACACACAGTTACACACAGACACACACAGTTACACACAGTTACACACAGTTACACACAGGCCTTCTCTCGCTCTCCTGCAGGGGGCGCACACAGACACACAGTTACACACAGTTACACACAGAGCAGAAATGGGCTAATAAAGGGGTTGAAAATGAATGAATGAACAAACTCCCTGATTGTATACTTTGGAAACACACTCAATAACAGTTGGAAAAAAGTCAAATAAAAGCGAAAATGTCAATGTCAGTGAGAAAAAACACAGAAAACTCTCATATAAAATAAATACATTGATTGCTTTATAGCTGGGCTGTCAAACCGGTCCTAAAAAACACCGATTTCTGGAACCAATTTGACACCCCTGCTTTATGGGATGTAAGAAACAGGATGTAGAGAACAAGAGAAGATGTAGCAACTTATTGTCCAGCAAGTTCTTTATGCAAAAGATCAAGACCGCATCGTGCCTGATTTATATCCCCAAAAAAATTTACTTTTAAAAGACACTTTCTGCCGTGACCATGGATCTAGGATAATAACTGGATAGGGTATTACTGCTTGGAGCTGAAGGACCATGTGTTCGGGGGATTCTCGTGGTACTGCAGACTAAACCAGACTAAACCAGACTAAATTCACGTGGGCTACACAGACATTTAGAACTCAATGTAAACTGAAACAGCTCGACCTCAGCTGACAGTGAACCTGACAGAGAACCTGACAGAGAACCTGACAGAGAACCTGACAGAGAACCTGACAGAGAACCTGACAGAGAACCTGACAGAGAACCTACAGCTTTCATAAAGGTCGGACTTTGGGGGATTTTAGTGCCCCTTGTCGTCCTGAACTTTTTTTTCTTCTTAAATCCTTCGGTTTTCTTTAAATCCACACTTTACTGCAACAAACTCTGCTCGTCTGGCTCTCGCTCTAACTCTCGCTCTGATGAACTGCTCTGATTGGTCAGAGCCGAGCCCCTCTGTGCACGTGCATGAGAGCCACACACAAGTATTTGGCGCAATGCATCATGGGAGATCATCCACTGCGCAGAACCGGGAGGACCAGACGATGCCCAAATACAGGCGAGTTCCTATAGAGCTTTGCGAGTTCCAGGCAACTTCCGCTAATCTTTCGGCGCCCGTGTCGGCGCCCGTGCCGGCACCATGCGCCACTGGGCACATCCAATCATTTGAATACGGCGCCATCTTGGATCGCCGGGGCTTGGCTGTGACGGACAAAATGTGGTAATTATGAACAAAAGTAAGTATATAAAAAGTCTATCTTATCTTATCTTCCAGATCTAAGTCTAGCCCTCCCCCCCCTCTGGCCCTGGTGTGTGGCTGTATGAGGTGCAGAGTGTGTGGACCTCAGACCTGGCTGGAAGGTGATGACGGAGGCCTCGGTGTTGGGCCTCTCGGTGAAGTCCATCATGACCTGAGCCGAGCCCTGGCGGGTGTAGCAGCGCACACTGGAGCTGTGGCTGATGTCTCCACTGCGGACCACCCAGACAGACAGCCGCCCCGCGCTCTCCGACACCACGTGGACGGCATCACGGAACTGCATCTGCGGCACTGCAACACGTGTGAGCTTCAGCCGAGGTTTCATACGGCCCCGGGTCATCCACGACCAGAACACGTGGATAATGACGATAATAATAATAATAATAATAATAATAATAATGCATTGGTTTTATAATGTGGTATTGTCTTTGTAAATCCCTAACCTCAGTCCTGGGTCTACAGCCTCAGTCCTGGGTCTACAGCCTCAGTCCTGGGTCTACAGCCTCAGTCCTGGGTCTACAGCCTTAGTCCTGGGTCTACAGCCTCAGTCCTGGGTCTACAGCCTCTATCCTGGGTCTACAGCCTCAGTCCTGGGTCTACAGCCTCAGTCCTGGGTCTACAGCCTCTATCCTGGGTCTACAGCCTCAGTCCTGGGTCTACAGCCTCAGTCCTGGGTCTACAGCCTCTATCCTGGGTCTACAGCCTCAGTCCTGGGTCTACAGCCTCTATCCTGGGTCTACAGCCTCAGTCCTGGGTCTACAGCCTCAGTCCTGGGTCTACAGCCTCAGTCCTGGGTCTACAGCCTCAGTCCTGGGTCTACAGCCTCAGTCCTGGGTCTACAGCCTCTATCCTGGGTCTACAGCCTCAGTCCTGGGTCTACAGCCTCAGTCCTGGGTCTACAGCCTCAGTCCTGGGTCTACAGCCTCAGTCCTGGGTCTACAGCCTCAGTCCTGGGTCTACAGCCTCAGTCCTGGGTCTAAGCAGCCTCAGCCTCCCTGGGTCTACAGCCTCAGTCCTGGGTCTACAGCCTTAGTCCTGGGTCTACAGCCTCTATCCTGGGTCTACAGCCTCAGTCCTCGGTCTACAGCCTCAGTCCTGGATCTACAGCCTCAGTCCTGGGTCTACAGCCTCTATCCTGGGTCTACAGCCTCAGTCCTGGGTCTACAGCCTCAGTCCTGGGTCTACAGCCTCAGTCCTGGGTCTACAGCCTCAGTCCTGGGTCTACAGCCTCAGTCCTGGGTCTACAGCCTCTATCCTGGGTCTACAGCCTCAGTCCTGGGTCTACAGCCTCTATCCTGGGTCTACAGCCTCAGTCCTGGGTCTACAGCCTCTATCCTGGGTCTACAGCCTCAGTCCTGGGTCTACAGCCTCAGTCCTGGGTCTACAGCCTCTATCCTGGGTCTACAGCCTCAGTCCTGGGTCTACAGCCTCAGTCCTGTAAACGTAAACTCACAGTCTGAGATGGAGTCGTTGATGGTGACCGTGGACTTGCTCGGTTGTCCCAGAATGCCGTTCATGGGCATCCTCAGCACCAGCTCAAAGTTCTCTGGTCCCTCGAGCACCGGTTGGCCCATATCATCCAGGACCACCACCCGCACCCTCTGCATCATCACCCCCGGAGCAAAGTCCAGGCTGCGGCTGATCCCGACGTAGTCCTCTCCGGCTGTGGGACAGAATCAAAAACAGAACAAAACTAGGACATTTCTTTGACTTATGGTACAAAAAAGTGGGCGGCACGGTGGCGCGAGAAGGCCATGGATTCGATTCTATCTCTAGGACCTTTCTGTGTGGAGTTTGCATGTTCTCAACAAGGTGCTCCGCTCTGCAAAGAGGACTGTGGGCTGTGAGCTTCCTGTTCTGGAGGTTCTTTATCAATCCAGACTTTTAAACCAAGCTCTGAGAATAATCAATGACTCTTCTGGCCACCCTGGGAAAGCCAGCTTCTTCTTTCTGGCATCGTTCGCAGAGATGCAGGTCATCTCGACATGCTAACAGCTTCTTCCTACAAGCTGTTATCAGTTTGAACAGAGCACTTTAATGTTCTTGCACTTGTATTGATACTGTTTTAGTCGATCGATTTCACAGTGAAATGAATCTGAATCTGATCTGATCTTCCTGTGTCTGCTTAGGTTTCCTCTCGGTGCTACCACTAAAAACATTTACAATAGGTCAGGAAAACACAACACTACACAACCTGTGTCTTGGGATTTCCCACAAACAGCTCAGAATATTGTTTTTTAGAATCAACGGATCCAAATTAAACTATTAGTCAGACTACCTTCCAACAAAAACTTTGTTGCAATTCCGTTGCTGCATTTTCTGTGAACTTCTTTTTTAGTTGGTTCAGAGGCCATATTTTTTCTTTCTCTCGTCCTGGGTATTGACATGTAAACTGCATCCGGCAGAGTGGTGAGGCTGTGCGTGGGGTTTGATCGATCCGGCTAGCCCCTAAAAAGTGCGCACAATAAGCTGTTGGTACTTCCTCTGTGACTGGCGAGTGGTCGGCGCCATAAAACCGACTGGGCCCCTCGGGTCGGGGATTGTTTGGCCTCTTAAACTTTCTGTAAATAGTTCAAGATAAATCAAGAAGATAATTCCTGTTGGTGTGTATAATCAAAATATATAATAAAATTGAATCCATGTGTGTACCTCCAGTTAAAAACAATCTGCCTTGAGATTTGCATCAACATCCAGTAAGTGCAGTCACAATGCAGTGCGTACATTTTGGGGGAGTTAAATGGTTGTATCCAGTACAGTAAGAGACCGTGTGCGGCTGATGCTGTTTTGGATTGCTCGTCAACTGAGTCTTCCTCTCGATGGTGCAGTTTAGATTATTTATTGAAGAGGATGGATCAGGTACATGAAGATGATGATGGTTTGACACAGTGTGTGTGTAAATGTATAAGTATGTGTGTGCGGGTGCGTGTGTGGTTATCTGAAACAGAAAAACAATAAAATGTATATTAATAAACATGTAGGCAGGCTACATGTATGGTTACAAACAGATGTATAAACATGACCTGCAGTACCACCTACAATCCACTAGTGAGAGCTCTAAAACTACATGCGTAATGCTGTGTTCACACCGGGCGCCTCCGACGCCTCCAAAGCGTCAGGTTTACATTGAAAATACATTGAGGACGCGGGCCAACAACACCTTCTTTGCAATGTCTGAGCAAAAATTGGAATATCGATATTGAAAAATAAAATAGATATATTCATTGTTTTGGCAATATTACCCACTATTTTCAATGCAAATTGTAATTCAAGCAAAAATATATACAGTCAGACAACAAAACAATGGTTTGTAACTGTGTGATCACATGTCTTCGATCACACTGGCCTGTCCTCACCATATCTTTATCAGTCCTCATCAGCACACGTGAATTTACTCAGATAAGATCAGTGCTGCTGCTACAGTTTTTCTTACTTTAGGGTTAGGGTTAACAATATGGATGCTTATTTGGTATTGCTTTTCATGGTCTTCCAAAAGCACTTCACACAGTGTAGGCCGGGATTTGTACTATCATAAAAGCTATAGCTTTATATAAAATAAAATAGAATGTACAGTTTGTTATTTGTCGAGTGTTTGACCCATTGTATTTTCTTTTGGGCAGAAATGTATTCCATTGTGGAATTTCTGGAGGCGAAGGAGGTGGAGTTGGTGCCATCAGTATGGGTCACCAATGGTCATTGTGCGTGGCCCTCGGGTTTGAGGGGCACGGCACTAAGCCTTGCAGTTCGTACTGCGACCCTGTGGAGCCAACGTGGGAGCAGTACCGCGTGCGAGTACTATATACAACTGGTACATTCATCATCCTTTTTTCACTGTTCATGGTCAATTATAGTCACTGTCAGATAGATAAACAAACATCAGGCACTGTGACACAAGTTTATACCCCTTGGTGGTGAGTTTATAGCCACGTGTATAGGAGCTGTTTGTTTCCTCAGGGCCTGGACAACATGCTATCATCAATAGAAAAAATAATGAATAGGTTTATCAAGATATTTTGCAGAAAGACCTGAAACATTCACAACAGCATGGAATATGTTAGTGAATCCTTGTATTAAATAGCTGCTGATCCTTCTTTTTCAGCAATAAGTGCTTTCCTGTAGTTGCAGATTAGACGCTCACAACGATTAGGATGAATCTCCTCTTTACAAAACTGCTGCAGTTCAGAGAGATTCAAGCAGTGTACTTACTTATTCCTCCCTGTCCTGTGAATGTTTACATGTAAATGTTTGGGTGGTATTAGTTTTGTTGGAATAATACTTCAAAAAGTAATTCCTCTTTGCCTGTGTAAGCCAAATAAGTTAATGCAGTAGTATGTAGTGGGTGGAAAATATTTAGCTTTAGACATTTCCTCAGAGGACAGATTTGCTAGAGGTCAGGATGATATGAAGATAGGATCAAATACACTACACCCTTTACAGACCATCACTGACCAAAGACCATCTTTTTAATTTTAAATGCCCATTGTTACGTATCACCGAAGATTACATTTATATTGTAGACTTATTAGCACTCCTTCTCATGTTAGGAGTTTGCTTTCCTACTTTCTCCAAGTGAGTTTTACATCTCTAGCCTGTTGACTGCAAAACTGCTTATATTTTTTATTTATTTTTTGTAAAAAGAGAACTATGAAGAGGGCCGGAGGAAATTGAGGGAAGCCGAAATAACATCCGACCTCCAGTCAGATGTGGAGACTGAAAAGAACAAAAAACGTCGTCGCAAAGCAATGTAAATATCAAATTAAACTCTTCACTTTCTTGAATTTGAATTCTGATGGAGGAGGGGATCAATGTGACTCTGGGACAGAAACAATTTAGAAATAAACTTCAGAAAATTTACAAATAATGAATCTGTGAAATCTATCTATTTGCTCAAGTCCAAAAACAGTTCATATTGATTATTGTACTATTTGGACACATTTTGTGCTCTTGTGTCATGTGTCCAGATGGAGACACAAGACATTGAACTGTGTACCAGTTTTTTGTTCCGTGTGAACATGTTAGTCACCTAAAATTAGAATTTTTGAAACCTCAGCATTTTGACTACCAGGGAATTCGTACCCTCCATCTCAATTACACACTGAATGTTGGCCAAATTAACACAACCTATTGCATAAACATACTGATTTTTTTCTCAGGAAAAACCATCATTTTATATCATCTTCAGAGGATGAAGCGCCGATGTCCTCCATCCCTGCGGCCCAAGCCGTTCATTTTAATGCATGCCCCCCTCCTCCCTTTGTTAATTTTGACCCACCCGCCCCCAGTCAATCACCACCCCTCCCCCGAACATACACGGAGCTCACGGCAGGTGTGTACAGCTTCTCTCACTATCATGTTAAGTTCTCAGGTATATTAAATAAATAAATGCAAACTCTGTAAAAAACAGTTTAGCACTGCCAGGATACCAGCATTACCACTGGTCTCCACAAGCTCCACAACCAGAACCAGGTAAGATTCACCTAACCCTATAGATCAACCACCTATTTGATTCCCACCTGAACGGGTCCTTTCTGTCGAGTTTGCATGTCTGCATAGGTTTCCTCCGGGTACCCCACCACTAAAAACATGTACAAAAGGTGAATCCTCCAGCCAGGTGTTTCTGACCATTAGCCTGGCTTGACACAAGTCCCCAAATGCGTTTGAAGGAGAGAAACAAACTCCACACAGAAAGGCCCACAAGGCCCGGGAATACTTTATATATATATATATATATATATATATATATATATATATATATATATATATATATATATATATATATATATATATATATATATTATGTAATAAAAACTCTGTATTTGCAGAAAGCTCTCATGGAAGCCACTCTGGTACGCTTTGTTACCACACTGAACAGACTACTACTAATCAGTTTTGTTTATTTGATTTTTATATTAATGAACTTTGTTCCAAACTTACTTTTACAGTAATTTTAAAGGAGGTCCTAACTAAATTAGAAATGGTGCTGCAGCAAAACGACACCATTCTCAGAATACTCCAGCACCAGGCTACTCCTCCAGGCTTGGAGGAAGCCATTGACCTGCCACTTGCAGACCTCCCGCAGCTGTTGGCAATGGAGGACAAGCTTGGCTCACCAGAGTTCCGCTGTTCACTGGTGAGCTTTTTATTTATTTGGTAATATTAAGCGCAAAATGAAGCACAAAAATAGGAGTGGCCGACCATGGGACAGTCATACTATTTCATCCCTCTTTGTCTAAAACATACATAATTGACTCTGGTCTCATTGGAAGTTTGCTTGTCTATCTGCATTTATTTGATAGATTTTGGATGTTTTGAAATACTCACTGCATGAAAGCATATTTTCGGTTAAATTTATGGTAGCCTTCAAATTCACCTGAATTTAGCAATTTACTATTTTACTTTTTTTGCAGACTAACTACCTAGGGACAATCGGGGGCACCAACGTCCAGGACACGACTTCCCGCATATTAAAAAAAATTCTGAGCCATTCACTGGCCCAGAAAATGAATTGGAGGGGGGTCAACGGCAAGACTGCCCTGGCCACCCTGCATTTGCGCAAGGTTGTCGTCGGTAAGTTTAATTGTCACTTGTGGTGATAGTTTTTTTTACTTTCCTACTGAGAGTTTTTGATTTGTGATAGTTTTTTGTTTTGTTTTTAAATCGGATTTTAAATAGTAAAACAGTAATTCATCCTAAATGTTTTTTTGTTTGTTTGTTTGTTTTTTCCTTTCAAGGTGCTGTGCGTAAAAACCCGATTATAGGGTTTACAACCGAGGCAGAGGTGGAGGACAAGATGAAAAGATGGCTCCAACTGAGTGCAGACAGGGAGGGGGGTAGAAAGAGAAGGCTGCTTGCTAAGGAGGGATTAGGGCTGTAAAAAATGTTTGAGTTTGTGAATAAGTTTTTTGTTACAATATTAATGTAAATAATGTAAATAGTTCTATCTATCTAAAATATGTTTTAGACCCCTACGTTAGTATTTTTTCATTGGGCAAATGAATAAATTTCATTATTTTCGCGCAAACTCATTATTTATTTATTTATTTGTGTAATTCTCTCTATATAGCTCTAATAGCTCCTTCGTAAATGCTTCTAAACTAATACTTGTTTTCCTCTTCATTTTTTAAATATCCCTTTTTATACAATACAAAAAGTGGAAGGTGATCACTAATATCATTTATCATTAATCCGTCTGTATCTCTTTCTATTTAATTTGAGAAAATGTTATCAATCAAGGTGGCACTATAATATATATAATAATCTGCAGATTATTGAAGTCTATTCTCTATTTGTTTGGAATCGGCAAGAACAATATTTATAGATATAGTGGAAATGTACTTTTTAACTGCACAAAGGTGTGAATATGGGGTTGGTGACACTGGGGTTTCAACATACTCTGGATATTCAAAGTGGAATCAAAAGTAAAAACTGCAAAAATATGATCTGATATTACCTGTCTCTTATCATGTGGCGCTTCATTTAATATTTTTTTAGTTTCACTGCATTGTTGATTTTTTTAAAATATGTCATTTTCAGGGGTGGGAAGTGCAGGGACAGGTTATTTCCCATAATTTGATAATGGCCCTTGAACTAAGCAGACATTCATCAGCCATCAGTTCAATAACTCCATTATATTTGTAAAACAAGGAGAAAGAAAGTTTTCCCCCATCATAGTCAGGTCTTGATCCCTCGCGGAGTTCTCATTGGAATCTGCTGCTGTGGTCTGCAGCGAGTGAGAGGCGAGCTTTAGAGTAGAATATCCAATCAGAGACAACCTAACACGTCAAAACGCGGCGCTATTGGCTGTCACAGTCTGCCGGGGAGACGAGTGCGAGAGGGGACACAATGACACAGACGCGGAGGATCCGCCGATCCGCGTCTGAAGAGGAAAATTAAGTTTGTGCAGCAGCTGAGTTGAATGCGGGACACCGCTCCAATTTGCGTGATGCAGGATTTGAGTTGGAAATGCTGTGCAGTCCCGCATAATGCGGGACATCTGGTCACGCGATGTACATGTTCCTTCACCTTAATTATTGCAACATTGTTCAATTGTTGGGATTTAAATAAATGTTTTTGAAACAGTGTTTTCAGCGCCTTTTTTAAAGTCTAACATGCGTGTTTAGGTTATTTACCCGACAGCCCAGCCGATTCTCAGCCGACATATAAATAAAGCCATTATGCTGTAGTTCAGCCGATACTGGGCCGTCATCTTTAATGAGAGTCACGTTACTGTAGTTCAGCCGATACTGGGCCGTCATCTTTAATGAGAGTCACGTTACTGTAGTTCAGCCGATACTGGGCCGTCATCTTTAATGAGAGTCACGTTACTGTAGTTCAGCCGATACTGGGCCGTCATCTTTAATGAGAGTCACGTTACTGTAGTTCAGCCGATACTGGGCCGTCATCTTTAATGAGAGTCACGTTACTGTAGTTCAGCCGATACTGGGCCGGTATATTCAGGGGGAGTCGCAAATATTGATTCAACCGATGACGGGCCGCCGGCCCAGCCAACTGTGGGCCGATTCGTGGGTGAGGTAATGGCCCGATGGTGGGCCAGACAAACTTTGCTACCTGGGTAGATCCATGACCATGGGTCATCCTCTACCTGCAGATTATGTGAAGATTTTGCCTACAGACAGTGACCACATCCATGAAGTAGCAGCAATAATGTTGTGGTAGTAATCGCGTTAAAATGCAAACGGTCTCTCCGTTTATGATTAGAATCCGCTTCAGAAGCCTCTATTTAATTTATCCTAAACGGACTGTGGAAGATTAATAATAAAACACATGTGGCTGTTCAAAGTCATTGAGCATCAACTGGTGACGTCTGGTCAGTATCACGGCTATCGATGGATGCACCAGAAATGCAGTGAATATTATTGTGACTGACAGAGAGACCGTTCGAGATTACTGGACAGTGAGGGAGGTCCGCAGACAGAGGCAGGTGAACCACAGACAGAGGCAGGAGAACCACAGACAGAGGCAGGAGAACCACAGACAGAGGCAGGAGAACCACAGACAGAGGCAGGAGAACCACAGTCACGGGCACTGACAATATTACCCTTTTGGAATTGCGATCAGTGCATTGAAGAGTATGTGACGTGTTTGCGTGCACGCGGGGGTGAGCTGATGGAGCGAGCGTGTGGTAAAGTTGTTGGCGTATGAGCAAGAACACAGAGACATACAGGGAATAAGTACTTTGTCTGATTATTTCATTGTGACAAAATAAAGCCCACGACTCTTTTAGCAACAATCCGGAGAAATAACTCCGCAGATAACAGTGAGGGTCTTTGAAAAGGGAGATAAACCCATTATAGATGCATGAATAAAACCCCGTACTCAACACGTAGAAAGTGCATCCTTTCAGCCGTGGAAATATTCGCTCCGTGTGGACCCCTCTCAGCGTCATCGTCTGGTCAGAGTGGTTTACAGCAGATTGGATTGGAATGTCTCGATGGCTCATTTTCCTTTGATTTATTATAAAAACGTATTGCTCACATTATTTGTCACTGTCGAAATAAGAAGTTGTTTGATTTAAATATTGTATATATGTAAATTGAATTTAACATAAATAAATAAAAAGACAGCTCCTCCCTGCCTCCTACGACCGCGGTCTGGGGCTTAAACAGGAACGTTTTACAGAATCAATCAAACAACATTATTTCTGGCTACTTCAAGGATGCAGTGGTCACTGTAGGCAATATCTTCACATAATCTGCAGGTGAAGGACGTCCAGACACCGTTCCAGACAACAACACATACGAGTTTTCAACTGCACATGCGCAGATGAAAACTCGTAATTTTGACTTTTAAAGTTGAAATTTTGACTTTTAAAGTCGTAATTTTGACTTTTAAACTCAAAATTTTGACTTTCTGTATGCTGTTTTTTTTTTACATGGCGGAAACGGGCTTCCATAGCTAACAAAATATAAAACAAAGATTACAGCTAGTTCCGCGTCCGAATGTAATCCGAGCATACATGTAGATAGTCCGAGGCGGTCCCGCAGCTCTCTCCCAAAGACAAGTCTCTCCAGAGGATACGATGTAAGCTAGCTATGTTCACCAGGGCTTGATTTCTTCTTTGAAGATTTTTTCGCTTTAATTCCCTCTTCTCTTCCTCACTGTTGTGTTGTTTGGGCTGTTTTGCTGTGTCTGCAGTTACAGCAAGAGGAGTTTTAGCCAATTCTGCTAACATGCTACTAGGGCTGGGCGATTAATCGATTTTAATCATTAATTCGAGTTTTACGTTTAGGGCGATTTCTTTTTTGAAAAATTCGATTTTTATTTTCTCCAGCGCAGAACTACAGCGCTAACGCGCTAACCGCGGGTCTATGGTGTTGAGCATTCATTTTGAAGCTAACCTAATGCTAACAGTCTCCCTCTGGCCTGATGCTCGCTCTCACAGCTGGTGCTGTTGCAATAACACTTCAAACGTTCAAGAATCAGACTTTATTTAATCGCCAGAACACACACACACACACACACAGGCTCCGGTCGTACGCCACATCTTTCACGCTCTCTCACGCTCGTTATTCCAAAGCGCACTCCCGTGTCCGTGGCGCGCACACACTCGTGTCCCACTGAGCCGCTGCACTTTGGGGAAAGACACGTCTCACACATTGCTCTCATTGCTCTGATACAAACAACGTGTTCCCCGCTGTCTGTTAGCTACAGTAGCTGCTAGCTACAGTAGCTGCTAGCTACTGTAGCTGCTAGCTACTGTAGCTGCTAGCTACTGTAGCTGCTACTGTAGCTAGCAGCTACTGTAGCTAGCAGCTACAGTAGCTGCTAGCTACAGTAGCTGCTAGCTACTGTAGCTGCTAGCTACTGTAGCTGCTACAGTAGCTGTTAGCTACTGTAGCTACTACAGTAGCTGTTAGCTACAGTAGCTGCTACAGTAGCTGTTAGCTACAGTAGCTGCTACAGTAGCTGTTAGCTACAGTAGCTGCTACAGTAGCTGTTAGCTACAGCATCAGAATGTAAACAGGAAGCTCGCACAATGCGGGAGTCACTGAAGTTAGTATTAGCGCCACCAGCTGGACCGAGCGTTGTACTACAGCACAGTTACTCAGGCACAGTTGAAAGAACAAGCATGAAAACCCGAGGAGGCTTTTGGAAAAGACTGCCTGTTACAACATTTCTATTTTGAGTAATCAGTTTTAAAAATGTGATATTTCATGTAAATAATGCATGTGTTTAATAGGATTGATATATTTGCGATGGGCCTTGTTTGTGTGATTTAAGTTATTTTGAAGGTGCATAGTGTCATTGTAAGTGAAGTTATTATAAAACTGTTAAGCTACATTTTCACTGTTTACAATGGCAGAGCCATCTCGTTTACAAGCATGTTTTAAAGGCACACCGCGGACTTTGTGACCTAAAGAGTTGACACATATGAGTTATTTTATATGAATACTTGGGCCAATATACAGCGCTTGACACTTGCAATGCTCCGAGCGGGGCTGCCCTCTTGAAATACCGCCCATGTAAGTTTCGAGCAGACGGACCGTCTGCCACCAGGTCACGTGACTTGGAAGAAAGACTTGCTTTACGGCTACAGGCGCTGATATACTCATGGAGCTAAGGCTTTTGCTACTCATTTTTCACCTGCTCGACTCCTGGTCATGGCTGAGGCAAGGAAAAATTTTAAACCTTCGGAGGAGGCTAAAAAGAGGAAACGCGAAAGGGATCGTGCTGTAAGCTGCATGTCTGTATGAGCGCTGCTCTTCACCTGGTTCCTGGATGTCATCGACTGCAAAGATGTCATTCCACGCAGCACGAGCTAGACGCAGAACTCCCTCATCCAGGATATAGAAGTCCATGTGTGGTAGATTACTAATGCAGCGGTCTGGAGGCTGACCACAGCAGAGTCTCTCA